TCGTCGCGCACGCGTAGCCCCGTGGTGCTGATGATGCAAGACCTGCATGCATATACGCGCGCGTGCGCGTAGAAACAAACCAGGCAGACCAAAGGAGCAGAACCGACGCCGGGGGGAGTCGAACCCCGACATCTCGCGTCCCGCAGGCGCGCCCGCGCGGAAAAAGCGAGACGTATGGCCGGACAGGTGTCCGGCACAGGTGTCCGGCCACGCGGCCGGACGAGTCCAGACCTGCGACCGGCGCGCGGCCGGAACGCGGCCGCCCCGTGGCCGGAACAACTTCCGGACGCGCGGCCGAATGTGAAGCCGGATGTTGCCGGACGTGTGGCCGGACGTGCGGCCGGACAAGCCCCGCGATGATTACATTTCCAATTAAAATCGTGCTTTCCAGGATGGTCGTCTCAACGGCCCTCCCGGTCTCAGTTGGGAGCGGTCCGCGGACAGAGCGCTCAAGCCAAACCCTTACGAAGAACAGGCGCACGCACGCCCCGACCAAACCGATCTCTCCCCGAGACGTTGCTTGGCAGCGGCAGCCCCCCTGTCATAGGTCCGGCGTCCCGCCTTTCCTCCGGGGCGCCGGTATGAGGAACTAGGTAGCCGCTCCGTCGCGCCCGGGCGCGCGGCCCGGCGAGGAACACCCTTTCATAAACACATTCCCTTCTCCGTCTCCTTGCCCGCCCCCTTCGTGCATATACGTTCACACCGCGCGTTGGTCCGAGTTGCGTCGTCTACGGTCGTCGCGCGGCCACAGGTATGTCCTCGCCGGCTCGAACGAGTTGGCGAAACTTGGCAGTTCTTATGTAATCTTGGGGCGACGAGGCCGGAGATCGAACGATGCATGACTTCATAACCAATTGGTCCAATTCCAAAACGCGAGACGCGTGAAGGGGAGTGGGCGGGGCGCACATACAAACGTGCATACATGCATACATACGTGCGTACAGACAGACAGACTTACATATAGACAGACAGACCGACAAACCTATATATACACACAGAGATACACACATACATACATAGATACATACACGCATACATACATACATACATACATACATGCATACATCGATACATACATACATACATACATACATACATGCATACATACATACATACATACATACATACATACATACATACATACATACACACACATACATACATACATACAGACAGACCAAAAGACCTGCATACACAAAGAAACGTGCATGCATACATTCATCATTCAACCATAATACATACATACATACAGACATACATTCATACATACATGCATTCAACCATACATACATACATACGATCGCCCGAACGACCGTGGCGAAGACATAGTGTCAACGCCCTCCGCTCCAATTGGTTACGAACGAATTTTTTAGGACCTATGCTGGAATCTGTTTCTTGGCCTTCTTCAACGTCATCTAGATCAACATTTAGCATACATACATACATACATATGACCTATATGTCGTATATGTACATACGTGCATACATGCGTGCAGACAACTGCTGCATACAGACATGCTCATCTCCACGCGTGCATCACGCACATGCGCACTCGCGCCCGTAGCCTGGAAAAAGCGCCGGGGGGGGGATCGAGCCCGGGACCTTTCGGTTCCGAGCCCGCGGCGCGAACCAAAAAAAAAATAAGACGTTTCCGAGGGACATTATGATTCATCATTCGACATGGTTGCGTCGCATCTCGTTTGACCCCACCGGCGGGGGTCAAACGAGAAACGCGAAAGGAGTCAAACGAGTTACGCTATCTCGTTTGACCCCCCGCCCTGGGGTCAAACGAGATGCGAAATCACGTTTTGTCCCTCCATGCGGTCTGTTTTCTTTGGCTTGCGCGCTGTTTCGTTTCTATTTGCGCCCGGCATTAGAACGACCTCCTCCACCAAATCCCTGGGCATTGGGCGCTCTCCCTCGGCACCCTTTGGGTGTCCGAGACGCCGCGGGCACCAAAGGAAAACGCGCGAAAGCGACCGATTTCGACCCTATATAAGTAAGGGCAGGCCCCGGTGGGAGGGGGCAGGGTGAACTTTGGTAACTTATTGCACGGGGCGCCGGTGTTCTATTTAACCACCTCGTATCATACGGGTCCCACCGAGGATTGTCTCGAGAGCACCGGCGTTCTGATGAACGTATTGTAAGGTCCCCATTCTAGTAACTAGTGGGGGCAACCTTCGGCGGCATTAGTGTGGGCAGGGTGTGGGTCATGATGTCACGTAGTAAGTTTCTTGGCCTTCTTCAGCGTCATGTAGATCAACGTTAAGCATGCATACATACATGCACACAAACATACACACATGCATACATACATACCTTCCACAGATACAGACAGACAGACAGACAGACCGAAAGACCTGCATACACACAGAGACCTACATGCATACATTCATCATTCAACCATCATACATAAATACATCAATGCATCCAACCATACATACATACATACATACATACGTGCATACATACATACCCACATACCCACTATATACGTATATATAGAGATACAATGACAAGCACATAGAGATACATACGTAAGCCTGCGTGCATGGTGATACGTAGACAGCACATGAGACGTTCACTGGGGCTGGCTCGAGACAGACATACAGACAGACAGACAAAAACACAGACAGACAGACAGACAGACATATGCACTTGGAAATTTCAGATGCTTCTCAGTTTTCACCGCTCGGCCTCAGGTATGCGGATTGCCTCTTCCGGCTGCTCGGCGCGCCCGCCCGGCCGGCAGCTACCTTGGCTTGGTGTGCCGGCGGCTCTTGGCACATGGTCTTCGATGGGTGCCTCACTGAGGGTGGCAACCTCTGGCGCGCGGCGCCCGTGAGAAAAGTTGGTCTTTTGTATTGCCGTCGTGTTCGTGGGGCGTGCGTTGACAAGGCATTTCGTGTCATGGCAGCTGGTACATCTTTGCACTTCGAACGAGGAAATCGAAAGCCTCTCGATGGACGTTGTTTGTGTGCCCTTTGTGGGCGCGGCACGGCTTGCCGCGCATGTGCGCGTCGGTTGGGTTATATGTATGCATGTCCGCCGCCGTAGCCATCTACAGCCTTCGAGCTTGACGTTGTCGCGGCCTCCCCCGGCATCGGCCTCTGCCCATCTTCTTTGCGCCATGGGGTACCGTCGGGCACGTGGTACCAGCGCCGGCCGTGGTGCCGGCAAGGGCCGGGCGCCGCCGCCCACCGGCCGAGCCACGGTCATTTCGCGGCCGGACCCTGGGGATCGTTTCCCGAAATTTGCCCTGGCGCCGTACGCCACGGCCACCGGGTCGCCTTTTTACTTGCCGCAGCAATTGGACGAAAAGCGCCTCCTGAGCCTCAAACACATTGCGGAGAGCCGCGGGCCGCGGAACAACGAAGCGGCGTGCCTGCGCCTCGGCATCGCCCTCTCCGAGGCAGCCGGCGTGGCCGAGATGGGGGCGGAAGCTTTGCAATGCCATGCTGAACACAAGCTGGGCCAACTTGGCTTGGACGACCTAGTCACTTTCTTGCGAAGCGAGGCCGGTCAGAAGTACATTGCGGCCGCGCAAATTTTGAACAAGGCGAACAACGCCGTGGAGAGTGAGACGGCCGTGCAGACCGCGGTGGACGATTGGCTCAGCGCCCTGGAATCCTTACTGGAGCAGGAGCGCGCCGTCCGCAAGCTCGCGCAAGTCAGCGCGCGGCTGTACCTCTGGTCCATGGACACACTGGAGCAGTTGGCGCTGGTGAAATACCCCGCCGCGGTCTTCGCGGACGTCGATCCGGACCACCCGGCAAGGGAGGTGAAGGCGGTGGACGCCTGCGTGGAGAACCCCAAGCGCAGCACGCTACGCGCCGCCTTCATCGCCTCCTACACAAAGACGATCCTGGGCAAGCAGCAGGCAACCCGCAAGCGGAGCCTCGTCGCATCGAGTCCGGAGGATGCGCCCGGGAGCGAACAAAGCACGGACAGTTCCACGCCCCCGAGGGCCCACAAGAAGAAGGACAAGAGCAAGAAGGACAAAGCCAAGAAGGACAAAAAACACAAGGACAAGAAGCACAAGAAGAAGGAGCCCAAGGACAAGCATGACAAGAAGGGAAAAACAAACAAGCAGGCCTCCAGCAGCGACTCCACCGGTGCCACGTCCGGCGGCGGCAAGAAGGAGAAGAAGCAACCCACACGCCCCGCGGTGAGCCTCAGCAGCGAGGAGCCGCCCAGCCCTCCGGCGGAGCCAGACTACGCTGCGTGGGGCGCGGCGAACATTCGCTCCTTCGCCTCGACCGTGGCTGATGCGGTGCAGGCCCGCGGGAAAGCGAAGACCGACCCCTCGCGGTTGACCTTGGCGGCTTTGGTGTCGGTGCTCGACAACATCCCAACGGACGTGCTGGAGGCTCACGGCCTGACACAAGCACTCACCGCCCTCAAAACGTTGACGCGCTTGCCGAAGGCCGAGAAGCTGGACGACATCTGCGGCCGCTTGGAGGAGATCGTCACGGCAGCCATGCCTTTTGCCCCGGCGGAGACGGAGCCAGTGGCGGTGGCGCTGCCCGAAGCCGCGGCGAAGCCGGCAGCTGAGTGATAGCCACCAACCGGAGTGATTGCACGCGTCGGGACCGGCAAGGGTCGTTCCTTTTCTCATTTGAAGTCGTTTCCCACGCGCCAGCTAGACATTTTGTCATGTTACCGTTACCCTTATTGTGTTCCTGTTCTCCAGAAACGACAAAGACCCTTGCCTGCAAAGTTGCGTGGAAGACTTATCCACAGACACCCCGCGTGACCTTGCGTCCCCGCGATCGCGACTGCACCGTTAGCCGCAGAAAAAGGCAACGCGGCGAGCGCGTGCGACGGAGCTCGTTGTGTTAGCCGGTGGCGTGATTGTTATTTTGTGCGGTTGGTCGTCGCATCATTCAATGCTGCGCGCAACTGTCCTGTTCGCGGCATGTCCGGCATCGGGCTTGTTTCGGCTCTGCGTCTTCGCCGCCGCCGCTTCGGCCTCTGCAGGGCTTTGGTCTCGAAGTGCCATGTCGAAGCGGCCCGCCGCATCTGTGGAGCCGCCGGCCGCGGCGGATGCGGCCGCGCGACGTCGGCTGCGCGGCAAGCAGCCCTGCGCGGCCTATGCAATCGCAGTCGCGCCGGGGCCAGGGCCGCAGCCGCCCCGCGCTGTGCAGCGGCGCCCTGCCGGCACGACGAATGAGTGCCGCGGGGTCCTGGATCAGCCGTGTCGTTTTTCTACGGCCGACATCGGGCGCCGGGCGCGCTACCACGACGCCAGCCGCCAATGCCCCTGGTGCAATCCGGCTTTGTTGCGGCAAGCGGCCGACACGAGTCAGGGTCGGGTGCGCCTCAGCCGGGGCCTTCGCTTCTTTTGGACGCATGACAAGTCCGTCTTCGCGGCGGCCGTGGCGCGTCTGCCCGACGCCTGTCGTCGACACCTTCCACTTCAAGCCTTGGGCCTGTCTGCGGCTTTTCATTCTGCTGCCGCTCTGGAGACGGCGCTGGGGACAGCGCAGGGCCGCGGGCGGCTGCTGGGCATGCTCCGTAAGAAGCGCACTGACGACGGCGCCCTGGTGGACGAAGCCTTGAAAGCCATCCCGGAGGAGCATGCGGAGTGGTTTCGTGCACAGTTGGCCGCGGAACCGCGCCGGGCCCGGGCGCAAGCGGCTCGAGCACGCCAACAGGATCAATGGGAGCAAGCTTTGCATGCTCGCAAGAGCATTCGGGCAACTCCTGCGGAAGACCGACAGGAGGAATATGCAGGCCGGGTGGCCGAGGACCGTGCGCGCGTCCAGCGCAAGTTCTTTCCGCAGAGGCCCCGGGAAGTCAGACACACCGGTCAGCGATGGAGCAATCCCATGTCGGAACAGCTGCGGGCGACCATCGCCGATGTGGCGGAGAACGACACCGGGCTGCCTGCGGCACAAGGCAGCGAAGCTGCAGGCATGCTGGAGCAATGGTGCAAGTTGGGTTCTTGGGCCGTCTGCGCCACATGTCACAGTCTGGAGCCGCGGCATCTGAAGGAAGTCGACTGCCGGCGTGTGGCCGCGCCCGTAGTGCAAGCTTGCCGCTGGTGCCGGGGCGGCGGCGCTGGTTCTGCAGCCTTGGTGCCCCAGCCTGCGGACGTGCCTCGGCCGCTTCGCGGCCTGTCGAGCGCTGCGCTTGCAGCTTTGCGGCCCTTGGACCTAGATTGCGGCAACTACCAGCGCCCGCCGCATGGCTATCGGGTGCACACGGCCTTGGCCCGATTGAGTTGGTGCGAAGAAGGCGTGGCCGAGAAAGTGGCCCAGCTGCCGCGGCAGGAGCGCAAGAAGGCCGAGAAGGCGCTCCGGTACCTCATGCGCGGAGATAGCCGCTCCGAATACCGGCATTTCGTGCACAAGCACAACACCTTCCTTCGCCAGAACCCGGATGCCACAGACGCGGACTTGCGCCGACCGCTGCAGATGCTGGAGGCCGTGGTCGCGGACGGGCGTTGTCGTGGCCGCAACGAAAGTTTGTAACAGCCATATCGCGCTTATATGTCTTCTCGTCTCGCTCCCGCTTTTCGTCGTCCGCGCAGGCCCCCGGGGTGGAGTGCGCCGTGTGGCCGGACCTCTACTGGGATTCCGACCACTGCGAGACCGTGGTCCGTGGCACGGACGTCCGCCGTCTGCAACGGCAAGGTCTCCTTGAGGACGACGGGGACGAGGAGGATGAGGACCTCGGCCGCGGCAGTGTCCGCCGCTCCTTTCTGAAGAAGATCCTGGGGCCGATCCTGGACTACGCGGCCGAGTACAGCTTGATGCACTTCATCTTCGATCTGACCCTCTGGAGCGACCTCGGTGCCAAGCGCCACGCTTGCCCCCAGATGCCCATGAGGATCATGCTGAAGGGCTCGACCTTCACACCCGCCTACTGGGCGCTTCGCCACTCGGCAGTCCTCGACCTCCAGCGACAGTGCGGCTTTCCGGCGCTCTTCAAAACATGGGCTCCGTATGAGTGGAGCGCACCATACCATCGAGCACTCTTACAGCAGCTGGCGACGCTTCTCCGGTCCCGCCAACACTCCGCTGGCTTGGAGACTCTGCATTTGGCCCACATCTTGGTCGAACTGCTTCGGGAATGGGTGGCTGGAGGCGCCCGCAAACAGGGCGAGAGCAGCTCCCTGTGGCGACAACATTCACAGTTGGCAACAGCTCAGGATGGACGCCACTGCCGCATCAACTTTGCGGCTCGCCTGGAGTTCCAGGACGGGAAGCGGAAGGAGGCTACGCAGAGCTACCACGGCCGCGGAGCGGTGCATCTCCATGCCATCCTCTTTGCAGAAGACCTGGAGGCATTGGACCTGCACGAGAAACTCTTGGCCACCGAGCCGCCTCCAGGACATCCTCTCCGGGGCTACATCATGGACCAGCTGAGCTACAACGGAAGCGGCTGGCCGGTCGAGGACCGGCGTTCGCATTGGGACCCCGACGCGGGCGTGGTGCGCCTCCAGCACACGCAAACCGACCGGGACAAGGGCGTTCGGGCCTACAACCCGCAAGAGGTCGAGGTCTTGAAGTGCCACGTGGACAACCTCATGGCCCAGGCCAGCTCCGACAAAGGCCGCGGGTTGCTGATGCGCTACGTGGCGACCTACGACGTGAAGTTCAGCAGCAGCTTCAGCAACGAGCTCTTGGCCGACCCGCAGGTCTCGGGTTATGGGCTCGCCTTTCGAGTGCTTTCGACGTACCATCCGTCGGAGCCAGAGATGTGGCTCACGCTCTTCCCACAACTCTTTCCACAGTTCGTCCTCGGAGGCACCATGCAACCCATCGTTGCGCCTTGGCCTGGGATGCCGGAGCCGCCTGGCTACGTCGCCGCCTATGAAGAGTGCGCGTGGCGAGACGATCGCATGACCCTGTTGGAATATCTGCGGAAGGCCAACGGCCGTGGTGACATCATCCAGTGGATCCAACGGGCACACGCCAAAGCGGACACCGCCCTCGACTTGGCCGACTTTGCCTGCCAGTGCCGCTGCTTCGGCGAGAAGGTCATCGCGGCCGAGATGGTGAGCGTGTTCAATGACAAGTTCTTTGGACAGTGGCTCATGCTGAACGTCCCCTTTCGCAAGGCCGAAACTTTTCTGTCAGATGACATCGTGAAGGGCGTCCCGGCGCGCTACCGGCACTTCGCCTGCGCCCTCCGTGCAGCGCCCGCGCATTGGCGGGACGCGGCGGCGGTTCGGTCCGAGCTGGAGTTGGCGGCCCACAAGGACACCTACATCCGGAACGCCTTGGCCTTGATTCGCGCGCAGACGGGCATCGTGGAGCGCTACTTGTCCGGCGAGTTGACCCTGGAGGACGAAGTGCCCGATGTCGACGACCTCCTGTCCATGGATGTGGCGCGCCAGCCTGTGGACTTGCCTCGTCCGCCCTTCAACGCCGCGCAGCGGCGCCTCGAACAGCAGGCCTTGTGCCGCATGGACGCCGTGCTCGCCTTTCGCTCGGCCGGCACCGCGGAGGACATGGAGGCTGCGGCCAACGACCTGCTGGAACACAACAGCATCCTGGTGTGCATGGGCGCCCCCGGCACGGGCAAGACCTTCGTCGCCGACTATCTGATCCGCTTGGCCGTGCAGCGGGACATGCGCGTGCTCTACGCCTTGCCCACGGGCCAGCTGGCTTGTCGGATGCGCCAGCGCCATCCGGGCATCGAGGTCGACACCTGCCATGGGGCCTTCGCATTCTGGCGGCCACTGACGGAGACCATCGCCTACATGGCCGACTTCGACATGGTGGTGATCGACGAAGCCTTGCAACTCAGCGCCGAAGAATTTGGACGCCTCCGTGCCATGTTCGTGGCCGCTGGCAAGCAAGTGCTCCTGTTGTTGATGGGCGACGACTGGCAGCTTCCAAGCATCCACCCGGAGCGTGCCGACAGCCATCCGCAATGGACCTTTGGCCACATCATCACCTTGCGCGAGATCAAGCGGTGCAAATGCCCTGAGTTGCAGGCGAAGCTCGACTTCCTGCGGTGTCACAAGCCCATGGGCGCCGAAGGCAAGCGGTTCATCAACCGGCTCTGCTACAAGCACAAAGCGTGGACCGGCCACGAGGAACCCACGGCCCTGGACATCGAGTCCGTGCTTGCGCAGACGGACGGCAAGACCACTTTTGTCACTTGCACCCGCAGGGGCGCCAGCATCATCAACGACCTTGTCGCGCAGGTGCTTTTCGCCAACCGCAACAAGCGGCCCATCGGCACCATCCCTGGCGACTACGGCGACCTGGCCGAGAACTACACCGACCAAGGCCGACTGCGAGAAGACCGGCCGCCGCTTCCCAACCAGGTCCTGCTATATGTGGGCTTGCGCGTGCTGCTGACGAGGAACCAAGACAAGCAGAACCATTACGTCAACGGAATGTTGGCAGATGTGGAGGCCTTCCATCCAGAGAGTCAATGCCTGCAGGTATTGACGCAGAGCGGCAAGCGTTTGGCCATTTATCCTTTCACGGACACCAACGTACCCAAAGGCCGTGTGGTGTATTACCCAGTCCGTGTTGGGTACGCCGGCACCATCCACAAGTACCAGGGGGCAGAACTGCAACACGTGACCTTGTGGTTGGATCGCAAATACTCGCCGGCGGCGGGCTACGTGGCGCTGTCCCGCGTGGCCCGGGACGAAGATTACCTGATCGGGGGCATCGTCACGGCAGACCATTTTATTCCGGCCAAATAATACACGCCGGCCTGCGCGCACAGAGGCGCAGAACACGCACGTCCATGTGGCCAATCTTTTGGCCAGCAGCGTGCCCGGCGCGATGTTTTTAATTTTCCAATCCCGCTGCCGGGCCGCCCTAGCTTCACGATGTCTGGCCGCACGGAAAAAACCGATGATTCGCTCGCGTGCCGCTTGCTTTGCTGCGTGCCTCTGGCACGTATTTTGGAGTACGTTTGCCTGTTTTCTCGGGGCGCACCTTGCACTTGTGAGGTCTCGGCATCGCCTATGCCACGATGCAACCGTGTCCATCCTTACTCCGGCGTGCCACCGCCGCAGCCGTCTGTCCAAGCCCCCGCGCGGGGCGCGCGGCCATGGCGAGTCGTGCGTGGTCGCCAAGCGAATGCGGCCAGCGTTGGTGGCGCGGCTGTCTACGCGGCTCCGCGTGCAACCCGGCTCCCGCTTTGACAAACAGCGCAGCGCCTGTTCACGTTGCTATCGATTCCCTCGTGCGCCAGTATTGTTAAAATATGATTTCGTACGTGCACCACGCAAACACGTACGGCCAACAAAACGAAGAAGAACCCACCCGGACAGGGTTTCCAAAAAAATCCTAAACCCTAATAGATTACAGGTTTGGGTGGTCTTGGGGTGGGTTGTAGCGTCCAGCTACGACGCGCCGCCCCGCGACCCTTTGGGTCGAGGCGCGTCGTTTCCCAAGGGAAACCCTAAACCCTAAACCCTAAACCCGTAGTCGTACGATTGATTTTTTTGGCCGTTCGGGCACATTTCCTGGTTTTTTTGGCTACTCACAATGATTCTCTAGTCGTCCCTCGTAGGACAGGTTGCATTTCCAGGTCTTGTCTTAAAAGCCTTTTCATGCCAGGGGGTAAACCTTGGGCAAAAAGGTTAACCCCACGGGTAAACCCCGGGTGGTCGACCCCAGGCTTAAGCCTAGGCCAGTGAGAAAGACCAACAACGGGGTCTCACAAGCACAGGTAGTCTTGTCTTAAAAGCCTTTTCATGCCATGGGGTAAACCCCAAGCAAAAAGGTTAACCCCGGGTGGTCGACCCCAGGCTTAGGCCAGGCCAGGGGGCAAAATCAACACAGAGTCTCACAAGCGAGGGAGTTGGCATTAAACCCTGAAACCTATGGAAATCTCCTTCGACGCGCTTCTTTTGTATTGGTGGAAAATATGCCCGCCCGTCCAGGGTTTCCTTTAAAAACCCTAAACCCTAAAAGAATGTGTGTTTGGGTGGTCTTGGGGTGGGTTGAAGCGTAACGCTGCGGTGCGCCGCCCCGCGACCCTTTGGGTCGAGGCGCGCCGCTAGACAGATGGAAACCCTAAACTGAAGCGAGGGCGCCGTCCGATACGGGCGCCCGAGCGCTGCCGAAGCCCCGATTCAGGGCAAGGCGGTGCCGGAGCAAGCGGTCGAGCGCAGCGAAGGCACCCGGGGCGCTCACAGTGCCCTGGCAAGCGGTCGAGCTTGCCCTAGAATAAGTAACCCCAAACCCTAGGATGGACCACTCCATCCTCGAACAGGATTGCCTTTAAAGGCATTCTCGTAGCACAGGATTGCCTGGTGCCTCCCTGGTGCCTCCCAGGCTGTCCAAATGGTCCTTTCCTGCCTCCCTGGTGCCTCCCTGGTGCCTCCCTGGTGCCTCGCAGGCTGTCCAATTACTCCTTCCCTGCCTCCCTGGTGCCTCCCAGGCTGTCTATTTGGTCTTTTCCTGCCTCCCTGGTGCGACCCTGGTGCCTCATTTGATCCTTCCTGCCTCCCTGGTGCCGCTCTGGTGTCCAATTATTCCTTTCCTGCCTGCCTGCTGCCTCTCAGAGTGTCCAATTCCTCCTTTCCTGCCTCCCGGGTGCCTCCCAGGCTGTCCGATTGGTCCTTTCCTGCCTCCCTGGTCCCGCCCAGGCTGTCCAAATGGTCCTTTCCTGCCTCCCTGGTGCCTCGCAGGCTGTTCAATTATTCCTTTCCTGGCTCCCTGGTGCCTCCCAGGCTGTCTATTTGGTCCCTTCCTGCCTCCCTAGCGCCTCCCTGGTGCCTCCCTGGCTCCTCTCAGGGTGTCCAAATGGTCCTTTCCTGCCTCCCTGGTGTCTCGCAGGCAATCCAATTAATCTTTTCCTGCCCTCGCTTGTGACAGGGGTCGCCGTGAACCATTTTGCCTGTGCGCTGTGGGTTTGCCATCCGCTGAGCAAATTTCAATGGCGACCGGCACGATTCGCGCCAAATCCTGGGGTGGGCCCCGCGGCCGTCGAACAGACTGCTTCGCACAGGCCTTCTCCTGGAATTGAATCCCACGCGCACGTGCCCGACCTTGCCGTTTAGTCCCCAAGCCTAACCTGGGCACGCCCCCTCTTCCTTGCGACGTCGTTGCCAACCTTGCCTTTTAGTCCCAAAGCCAAACCTTTGAATTGTCCGACCTTGCATTTTCGTCCCAATGGAAACCCTTGGAACGCTCGCTTAGCTTTACGATGTCGTTTCCAATCTTGCCCTTAATCCCAAAGCCAAACCGTTGACTAATACTCTTCCCTCGCAGAGTCGACGGAGCGCGCTCGCGACGGGCGGACGGCCGGCGCTTCGCTCCCTCGCTCTCGCTCGCGCCGCCCCTCCGCCGTCCATCGTCGCCACTTCGCCACTCCGCATCGCCATGTCCAGGTGAGCCGATCACTAAAAGAAAGAAGTTGTTGGGCCAGGCCTGAGGGTTCAAAGAACCCTAAACCCTAAAAGGTTAAGGTTTGGGTGGAGCGCCAGCGGGGGTGGGATTTGTCCGCGAACGCGGCGCGCGTGTGAATGGTGAGGGGGGGCGTGAAAGCAGGTTGGATAGCCCCCCCGTGCGCGCACACGCGCGCTTAACAATCGACACCCTAAACCCCTAAACTTTTAGGGCTTGCGCCACTTCTGCGACACGAAGTGACATTGTGGAAGGTACCTGCGGGAAACCTACCCGAAATCTTCAAAGTATTCGCGCTCCATTCGGCTTTCCATTTCATTGAAGAGGCCTAGGCAAGGCCAGAAACCTTGCATTTCGAGAGGCCCCGAAAAGGACAAGAACCTTGAAACTTGCAATTTGCAGAGGCCAAAAACCTTAAAACCTTGAGCCGGCAAAGGCAGGGAAAAGGTCAGAAACCTTGAAAACTTGAATTTCTAGAGGCCCGGAAAAGGCCAGGAACCTTAAAACTTGCAATTTGCAGAGGCCAGAAACCTTGAAAGCTTGAGCCGGCAAAAGCCAATGAAAAGGTCAGTTCCAGAGGCCCGGAAAAGGCCAAGAACCTTGAAACTTGCAATTTGTAGAGGCCAAAAACCTTGAGCTTACAGAGAGGCAAAGTTTTTTGAAACCTTGCAACTTCAAGATTTGCCCGAAAACCGCTAACTAAAAACAAAAGGATGGAGTGTAGGGCGCGATTAAAAATCTTTAATTAAAAACTAAAAGGATGGAGTGTAGAGCGTAGGAGTATAAAAAAATTTCTCTTTGTCCTCTGTTCTACTTGCTCTTGGTTATGGCCGGGGTTTGGCCAGGGCGCCACTTCGTGTCGAACCCTTAACCCTTAAACCCTCAAGAACCTGTAAATAGAAAATATATAGGATCGAACCCTGGAAGCACAAGCAAAAAAGCAAAAAAAACATTTTTGAGAAACGTTTTTCCCCTGAACCCTATATATCTTCAATAAAAACCCTAAACCCTCAAGAACCTGTAAATAGAAGTTCTTTAGGACCCTCGAAGCACCCTGGAAGCTTTAAACGAACACATTTTAAAAAAACATATTGAGAATTTTTTCCCCCAAACCCTAAAGAACTTCTATAAACCCTAAACCCTAAAACCCTAAAGAACGCGTAAACAGAAGCTATATAGGGTTTTGGATCCTGAAATTTTAAAAAAACGAACCTTTTTTTTTCACGAACTTATTTTTCCCCTGAACCCTATATAGCTTCTATAAACCCTAAACCCTAAAGGGCCTTAGCACCAAAACCATCCAAGTGGTTTCTTGTCGAGGTTGCGCTCTCGCATCTTTCGAAAGCGACCAAAGACTTTCCTGTTTCTCCTCACATAACTTTCTCGAGATCAAACAAAATGGCACATATGAGACGAAAACTCGAAGAAAAATTGCACCGGCATAGACCCCTGATAGAAATATCTTTGTATTTCAAAATAATTTTGACAAGATGGGAGATGAGCTAGGCAAAGACTTGCTTCCAAACAATAAAGGTAAGAACCTCTACTAGCTTTCAGCTATCTGGAGAGAAGTAGGAACAGTTTCCAGGTATCCAGGAGCAAACAGAGAAGAAATAAAAGATTTGTATCCAACGTTCTGCTGTTTGGTTTTCGAAGTGAAGGTAAAATCATGTACTGCAAATGTTGACGCTGTCTATAGTCCGTACGCTCAAATGGGTTTCGAGAACCCCATCCGACAAAGCAACAAAGCAATACTTCCTGACCGTGCAACTCCAGAACGGTCGAGAAAACTGAGAAAAGCACGTCCTATGTTGATGGTATCGTGAAACCACAACAGTCTGTCCTCAAAGCTAAGCAAGATCACAGGTTGCAAACAAAGACTCATCAACTTGCTGAAAACAAAACACCAAGTGCTGGGCTCGGACGTGTCCCGAAGGCTTTCCGACATCTTTTCTTTTTTAATCAACTTTTTCCATCCTGCCATGAGCAAACTGGCAAACTACAATCTGCAGCAAAGACACGAGTTGAGACACGCAGTGAGTGTGATTGAAACAGAAAAGCTCTCCTTCAGGCTGTCGGTTGCAACTCCACTGATTGTGAAGGCATTGCCAGCAAACTCGAAGCAGTCACTGCCATCTGCAATGTCAGTGGCTGAAACGTTCAAACTCCACCCTTTCCAAGCACACGCAAGAAAAAACATGTTCTTACCAAAGGGTATGGCAAAGGACCAACGGCGTGGAAAAACATACATGCAAGTCTTTAGCCTCAAGCCATCTCTCTCGCATTGGGGAATGTTGCTGGAAGATGTCTTCCAACAAATCCTGATGTATAAGCAAAGAGCATTGAAGAGCATTCATGAAGCCTACTGCACCCCATAAAAATGCATCAAGCAGATTACAGCAGAATCTATAGAAATCCAAAATGCATCTCCAGCGCAAAGTCTCTGCCTCACAGACGCTGAAGGTCCTCAAAGGCTTGTGCCAAGCCCGGCACGGAGTTGTTTAGAGCTGAGCAGTAAAAACTTAAAACACATCATCTTGAAAAAACAGCAGCCTAAATGGTTCAATGTTTTTTTGGCCTCACCGCTTCACCTTATTTGTTGCTTGTGGTCAAGATCCCAACTCTTGTTTTGCCTCTGGCATCCGAAGGGCCCCAGTGGCACGGCAAGCGGCCGCGCAGACCTGGTTTGGATTGAAGGCGAGTTTTACAGGAGTGCAATACCGTTTGGGACAATGTGCAAATAGAATCTTTGCACGCATTGTTTGTATAACATAAGGAATCAAAACATTTGATGCTCCTCGAAGCCTACCTACCCATCTTTCAAATATCTGTCCGGGGCCCCTACCAAATGGAAGTCGTCACGAAGGCGCCCAATCAAGCCAGAGGCATAGCCGCCGGCAGCCTGAAAACATAACCCTTCAGAACATTCTGAAATGTTCCCGCTCGCCCAAATCGGACGGTTCTCAAGTTAATCACTGCAGATGTCTTCGGGTCATATGACAGCTAAGGCTAAGGTTCTAACCTACGGCCCAATTGCATCCAGAAGTTGCATCATGTTAAGTATGAAGTTGCTCTTTCACCTCAGAATCTCCAAAACAAAGTTCTCAGCCAAAGGAAAACGAAGGAAACCACGCACATTTCATAGGATTGAAGGGGTCTCACATTCCGTGAACAAAACTTGGAGAAATCAATCTTGAAACTTCAGCTGTTCCTGATTTCTTCAGGCGCCTTGAGGGCACTCTACCGATCCCGTAACCTCTCGCCAAGCGCACACCTCAAGCAAAATTGCAGATGTTCCAAAGCAAACGCAACAGCTGTGAGCTATTCTACTTGCAATCTTTGGGACATACTGTGTCTCAGCTCAAATGTGGCTATCATCAACTTTAGCAGCGTGCTTGCTTCTTTCCGCTTTCCCAAGATGTTACATGTGGCTCCTGGCTCCACTGCTTCCAGTCGGGTCCTTCCTGGCGCCGGGCGTTCTTCGCTGAAAAAAGGTGACGCGGTTGACGGAAAAGACACCAGCACCCACCAGCACGCACACCCCCGCCACTTTTTCTTTCTCGCTCTGCCTTTGTGTCGCCATCATCCGTCATAGTCATCATCAATCATGCACTTGGTCATGCATTTCAACCACAGGATTCTTTCAGGGGTCGGCGTCATCAACCACCTTCTTCTGGCCGTCGCTGCTCACTCCGGGCATGGGCCCAAAAAGGAACGCCGCAGCCGCAGCCCTTGCGTTGCTGCTGCCGCTGGTTTCGCCTCCCTCTATCATTTCCTTCTTCTTGTCCACATTGTTTGATGCATGGCCTTCCACCTTGCTCAAAGCGTCCCGAATCCCCATGAACTTCTCACAGGTCAGGACCTTCTCGCCTTTTCCAAGGGCAGAAGTCATGATTGCTGCAGACAGGGAAATTGTTTTTGAACCTGGATTGCTGCAGAGATGTTTTTCACCAACATCTTCCATCCGCGCCTTCTCTACTATAGACTTTCTTGAAAAAGAAAAACTAGACAAATCAAAAGAACCCCGTCATCCAAACAAACCAAACACCCAACGGACCTGCCTTGTCAGGCGCCAGCACGACTGTGCCAGCCCCGCGGGGCTCCGAGCAGCCAATGGCTTGATGGGAGCCGAAGGCCCAGCCTCAAAGGCAAGAGTTTTCGGTAAAAAAAGACAACCCTAAGAGGCAAAGGTGATTTATGATTTAGGTGATTTAGCATTTCTCTTTTTTTTGCAGGCATGCTCGGTCAATTTCTGTTGCAAGGAGAGGCTTTTCAATATTTCAGTCATGTATAAGGTGCACCAGATTCACCGGGCCTCCCTGTTTAGAGAAAAGATCATAACTGGACGCAACCGAAGCCAAAAAGACTCTGCCGATTCCACTTCCATCAAGGCGCTGTTCAAGTGCTCCTCAGCTGCCTGCAGGTCTCATGCGGTGAAAGGCTCTTGAGATGTATTGAGGGGCTACCTTGTATGTAAAACTCATGAGTTACTCATATATCACTCATATGTCATATACAATGATGGAAATTCCAACCTGCCTGCCGCACCATATCACTAGGATCATTCATCATGAAGCTCACCTGCCAGACTTGCAAAGAAGCCCAGACGACGGAAGCCGCATGCTTTTCAGTCGCTTGGTCCACCGAGTGATACCTTCGCTGGATCTCCTGGATCGAAAGAAGTCTTTTGCAAAAGTGATTTTCGTTGCCATATAAGTCATGGATGTTTTTGCAGAGACGTAATCGGTGGTTGCGCAGCCTCGATGATCTTCTCTGTGACCTGCCCAGATCTCAAGACTTTTCATTTTGTCGTTCAATTTGCATTTTCTGTTTAAGTGAAAGCACTTCCGAAGTTGAAAACCTGATTCAATCATTCATTTTCGGAGTGGGGCCCTCTCCCACAAGTGCTGTCTTGGCAAAGACACCAAACCTGGAAAACAACGAAACGCAGCATCAAAGATTTGTTTCCTACTTCAACCTTGATCAAAGATTCAACCTTTTGCCTGACAACACCATACAAAAGTCTCCTGCAAAATCCAAATCTCACAGAACACACGCCTGCCAGAATTGCGCTGCCTGCAAGTCACCCAGCTTCAACTCAGTCTTTTGCAAAGGAATCATCGAAATGTTGGAAGCATTCAAACCACCTACCGGTGCACCATCTCAAACGTCTGGGGAACATCATGCTGCCAAAAGGCTCTTGACTCAGCAAAAGATGATGCACGCCCTTGCGCAATCTTGCACAAAGCCAATTGATAAGTTCGCAGCTCTGCGCTCTTGGGGCAGCCGATCACACGCACGCTCCTCAGTAGGGGAACAAGTCTTCGAACAAAAACCAACGCTTGAGCCACACTGGCTCAACAAACGGATAACAAGTGTGATTCTGCACAAGACTCCCTGAAATTGTCATCGGTTTTCATGCGAAGGCAGGATTTCTGGTTTGCCTCTAACCGTAAGGTTGATGAATCTCTGTCATGACTACTCTTGTGCACCCATCCCCATCAGCGCACGCCTTTTCTCTCCTTGAGCGGGCGCTTGAGCCATCATGCTAGCTGTGCTATCGCTGCAGTCCCATTGACACCCACGCACGGCCGGTAGGTTGGGCGCTTGACGTTGCAGCTCGAAATATAGATTGATATGTCCCACACTGCCTACGCATCCGGAGACACATTGATATGTACGACGGAATCCCTTCAGATTCAAAAGTTGTGCTACATATGTACATGTTCTCGGTTGTCTCTAGCGACTTATGCTCTACTTCTTGCATGAATTCGCCACGCTCACGCTCTCATATGAGCTCAGTACAAGATCTCCCGCAAAATGCATGGATCCTGTTGCGTCGTTCTATCACTCCGTTGCGGTCAAAATTGCTCGACCTTTGCATTTGTCTAGTGACCAAGGGACAACTAGAGCCATGTTTGCGAATCGTCAGTCTGCATGCAAGGCATTGCAGCTGTGTTAGCACGTTGCATTGGAGTTACGAACATATTGGTCATATTCCCAACGGACTCCTGGACAATTGCGTTGCGTGTGATCAAGTGCTCCGCAATTCCAGCATCCTGTGTCATACCCAGCCCTCCAGTCAGCTTGATTGACCTCGCGAATCTCTTCCGTTCGTCTTGGTGCTCTTTTCGGCGCATTGGCCAAATGACGCTGCGGATCCTGTCCAGGTGGGTCTTTCTTCAATTGCTAGGTATTGGAACGATGGGTCAAGCCATCGGTGCCATGTGTTGACCAGACCTTCGTTGTGCACGTTGCTTCGAGCGTTATCAACCTTCTTCTTCAGGTCGGTCGCAAGCCATACTCCATGCGATTCACAGACTAACGCACGTGGGACAAGGACGGATTTGGCTGACATTGAGGCAATGATGGATTTCGACGTTCAGCTTCATGTAACCTGGCATGTCATCGAAGTCATCCCGGAAATAGCTGTACATGTCGACACCATATGCACCCTTGATCAGTGTGCGAAGGAACGTTTCACATTCCCGTTGATAGTCACCGAGGTTCGTCCTGCCATCATCTAGCTCTCGGAACTTAGACGCGATAGACTCAGGTTTCCATTCTGACTTCTAGCCTTGGACCAAAAGGTTGTGGATGAATTTGGCACCTTCCAGAGCTCTGTACATCCTTTCCGCTCTGTCGTTAGTTGCTGCCATACTTCTTGAGATCTCCCGTGGCATCATCAACTCCTGTGAACGGGTATTCTCCGAAGAGGTCCAACCTTGCAATTCCTATGTTCGGGTTCTCGATCGTTGGCATGCTCTGGTTGTAGTACTCTTCCCTCGGAATGATGATGTTGGTCTTGTAGTGCGCCTTGGTTGTTCGCTTCAGCGAAATCACAATCTGTACGTCAAGCAGGGATGCTTCCCTTGAGATCACGTCCATGTTGTATATAAGCATGCACCGAGTCATCATAGCACCCGCTTCCACATGGCACTTTCATCAACCAACGCGGCACCATGCCGTTGCTATCGAGAATGTGTTCTGGAAGCTCCCCTTCATGTTGGCCCCAATCTTCCACATCATCGCCGATGTCAATGTTGTCCATTTCATCCGCTTCCTGCGGGCCTCATCATGCACTACAGCTTGATCCATTGCATTCAAGATGTCCGTTGCTTCTTCCTGCATCTCTTAATCCTCCTCGACTTCCATTTCACCGTCATCTCCATCTAAGTCAATTTCGTTGAGGGCTTCACTGAGATGCTGGACCTCTCTGGCGATGGGGAATTGTCTGCCTTTCTCACCTCTTCAGGCACGACATTCACAAACCGCAAAGAATTCACCTTGGCGCGATAAGCATATTGCAAGTCCAGACGGGGTCTCGGACAAGCATGCAGGGCAAATGTGGCAATCGGGTCTTTGTGGCGCATACTTGTCGATGATGAACTCTAGAAGTTCTTTCTTCGCGGCTTCTCGTGTTGGCTCATCGAATTTGTCTCCCATGACCATCTCGATGTCCTTCTCAATCTTGTTCATGATTGGCTCGTCAAAGCTCCTGTCCGTGACGATCTCACCCGCAATCGCGGTAATCATTCCTGATGTTGCCACAAAGTTGGAGTTCGACACTTCACCGATCAAAAGATTCCTCTCACTCTTCACGGTCAGATCAGGTTCATCTTGTCATCGAGCGTGCTGAACCAGACAATCGTTGTGCTTGTAGGTCGTTTCCCTCTGCTGAGGTCCTGGAGGGTTCATCCCAAGGAGCGAACAAGTGGTAGTATGCATCGAGGCGGTTTCCCTCATGACCTCCTGGACGAATCCCTGTCTCGAAAATGCTCATCAACATCCGAACTCCGCACTTGCTTGCAAACCTCTTGTCGATCTTGTAAGCGACCATGTCCTCCTTGATGTTGAAAATTCAGCATGTACGCTCTGCCATGAGCGACCATGAGGTGCACGAACAGCAACTGGGAAGATCCATCCGTCAGCCGAAACGATCCTGAAGCGATCAACACCTTCATTCTGAAGAGCGTGAGCATATGTCGAGGGCTGCTTCTTCGACTTGCAGGGCAAGGATTTGAAACCTTGGATTGTTTTGGATCTTTGCCTGCTTCCAGTTGATATCAATGAAGCCGATTTGTGGCAAGCCTGTTGTTGTGTGCACTTGTTGGTGCTTCTCCATTGTTCCACTGTTCGCTGTCACACCATAATACGTCTCTTTCAAGCACTAATGACCCAAGCACCTTCGTCAAGACCAGATTTGCGAAGCTTGAATTCAGATCTTCCTACTCCATGACGGAGGGACTGCCCCATTCACCTGCTGATCTCGTCCTCGATCTCAGAAGGATGCTCCACATATGTTCTCAGGGGTCGCATGGCGATCCCCCATCGAGGTGTTGCAAATTTCACTCCAGTCATGCAAACTCACCGAAGTGAATGCCTTCCACTGTCACCCTCTTGTACTGCTGGATGCAGTCATGCTTCACTTCATCCAATTCTCTCTCTTCCAGCACCTCTGGAATCTGAATGGGTAGATGTTGACTTGCAATGGAGTGCAGCCTGATCATATCCCGACGATCCCTGGGTCCTCCAGTAGCAATCTCTACTCCATTGATTTTACGGGGACCTTCTTCATCTCTGTCTCCGATGTTGCAGTACGAACTATAGGGGCTTCAAACGACAACGTGACGGTTGCGTCATTCATCGGCTGATCCATCGAATTCTTGGCGGCACGACTCATGTTGCTTTGAGTGTTCGGGACATTGGAGATTGGAGATGTCGATTTCTTCCTCCTCATCGGTCTTCTCCTTCATCTCCACATCTCCTTCTCCACCGCTGCCCTTCACTTCTTGGGCTTTCAGAAGTGCGTCATCATGTGGCTGAGTCGCACTTCCTCACTAGCTTCTGAGTCGCATTCCTCAACAGTGTGCTCGACGCTTCCGCATGCCACGCAAATACATGTCTTGGAAATCAGCGAACATGGAAGCAAGTCCTTGACGGTCACCGATCGTTCTCCTCTTCCCAGATGACGATGACGGATCACTCGTCGAAGACCTCTTCTTTCCTGAAGTTGGCATCTTCTTCGCTTTTGGCTTCATGAACTTCTGGCTCACAAAAATGACCTCCTGTGCTTCATCCTGTTCAGGCTGTGCTTGGGTGGACGTTGCTTCAGGACCGACCAAGGGACTGGTGCTTCGGCCGGCATTGTCTTGTCAACCCATAAGTGCTTTGTGTACCACCTTTCTCCCAAGGTCTTCTTCACTTACAGGTTGGAAGTTGTTCATGAGCCATTGTACTCTCAGCGCTTCTTCACCCATCATGTCTGATTTCTTCGCGCTGTTCCTTCTTCGGTTCACAGTGACGGATGGTTTGCTCGAATGATAAAAGATCAGAAGCTTCTTCAATCCCCCCCCACTCCTCAAACATAGCAGGGGTACTCTCTGCAAGCTCGAAGCATCCCATCCAGAATTTCATGAGGTCCCCCACGCGTTCTGCAATCGGCTCTTGGGGTCCGAAAATTGCCTGGAACTCTCCTTCGGAAAGCACGACCTTCACGAAGTCGTTATAAGCAACGTTCCCATAGTCCTTGTGCAGTTGTAGCAGTACCTGGTGTTCCCGTTGATGCTCTTTGATTCCTTGCACACGAAAACTCGTTTCCCTTCCCGGACTTGAATGATTGATGCCAGATGACGGACTGCACCGTAGAACGAGACTGCCTTGGCCACTTTGGAACCGAATGTCACGTTCTCATGGTTCATGGAAACATGTGCGGCACGTAGGAGGAATTTGTGAGATGTTTCCAGTGTGGCGAGTTTTCCCATAGGTTCTTCAGCCTCGCCGCTGTCATCAGCAATGCCTCCTTCTCGTCCTTGATGGATGAGTAATAAGCCCGGTTGGCCTTGTTGGCGGAACAGTTGAGGCAGTATTTCTCTTCATCGATATACTTGATCTTGGGGTGGACATCTGTTTCACAGTTGACACAGAACTGCTGATCCACAACACTGGGCTCGTCCATCATGATCCACCACTCAACATCGTCATGAGTCGGAACCGGAGTTGGGATCTTGAAGTTGATGTCCATCCACGGAGTCGACTGTGGCCCTTTCAAGACAATGTCACGACTTTTCGTCTATTTCCTTGATTGCCGACCTCACTCTTCTCGACCAGTAAGATCTTCAATTCGCAACTTCAGGGATCTGACGAATTTGTGGCATATACCATCATCATCCTTGATGACATTCATCATGAGAAGATCTTCACATATCCTCATGTTGGTCTTGTCCGAGATGGCCCCGTATGCAACCGTCCTCACGTGCTAGGATTTTTGCCATTCCTGCCCAAATCCGTTCTTTCGCAGGACCGGACAAGCGCGTGTCCGTGGGACCACCCGCAAGAATCGTCAAAGCTCTCCACGAGGACGAAGAGTTTGTACAAAGGATCCCGTTGTCGGTAGTGTTTGGTGACGCTCCTGGACAGCACGTTGATGGCGCCGCTCTCTCCACTGAATCTGAACTTGGTATATTGGGGCATGATATACATTGACGAACACTGGATGACTCAGCTGATTTTGGATCCCAGCGATCGCAGGGGCGATGTACTCCGAGTCGGTATCAGACAACTCAGGGAGCGTACGGAGCGTTGAGTTCCCCATGATTTCAAATGAGGTCCAAATGTGGAAGGTCATCGCCTCTGTAACATTGTCACGCAACCATTCTTCGACCTCCCTCAGAGTCCGGATCAGCCCATAGATACCTCTGGCGTGTGCTCTATGGCGAAACACTTTGAACTTTTTGAAGAAATCTGACAATCCCTGTTCTATCCCTACAACTTCACGACTGGCATTGCAGGTTTCATACCCAAAGTCAATGGTGAGCGCCAATTTTGCCATCTTCAGTTGCCCTCCAAGCCTCCAAGCGTATCCACTTTCTTCTTCAACTGCTCATTCTCCGTGACCTCACAACCGAACTTGTTGCTCACTTTCCTGATGTGCGACATCGGGTCCTTCTTCATCACCTGCCTATCTCCTTCACCCAAATCTTCCCCATCCGCATCTCTACCTTCGGCTGCTGCCACCTTGGTCCACTTCCCTTGGTCTTCTTCTTTTTCTTCGGCTTGGTGAATTGGACGAAGCATTCATCATTCGTCTCTTCATCGCCTGTGTCAATGAATTGGATTCTGGCCATGAACTAATTCCATTGCTTCTCATCCATTTGGAGCAATCTGCTGATCATCCTGATCCTTTCATCAGTGGTGGGCGTACATTCATCAGAGTTCATCTCGATGTATGGTATGTCGTCTTTCACCATCAGATCAATCTTCTGCTCAGACTCATTGATCATAAACGGCAACTTTGAATACCCCTCCTTCATGCACTTCTTTCCGACCGAAATCACAGACGGAGTCTCGCTCAGGACATACGGAGCGCATGCCATTCCAAGCTCTGGGAACTCGAACCGTGCGGTCTCTTGTGGAAATCGCGACACCGTTGGCTGTGTAGAAGTGGATACTTCTCGAATCTCATCTTGTCCACCTTGTCCTGAGATATTAGATCATGACCACATCCAGTGTCCATGATGAACTTCGTGGATTTCTTCTTACGTGATATGGCGAAGTGGACTCCGTTGTGATCCTTCTTCACTGTCATGTGTTCTACTATCTCCTCAACGAAATCGATGCCATCTCCATCGGTCATCCTCAATCTCATTGCATGCACTGGCCCGATGTGGATGGTCGCCATGGGCGCACATCCATCTTCAAGCTCTTGTTCAAGGATCAAAGCTTTGGCCCTCGCACGAATGCCTCCTACCAAAACTTCCATTATGTGCTGTTCTGACACGAAGTGATCAGCGAAAACAGTTCTGGGCTTACCCTGGCTGCTGGCGGGTTTGCTGGACCTGCTCATGCTATCACACTTGAACTTATGGACCGTTGAAGACGTTCTGAAAGACACTTTCCTATGGATCTTATTACATCTCGGGTCACCATTGTTACCCCAGGTCACATCCGAGTCACTGAACGGTTCATCATCAGTGTCCTCAAGTGCGGCGAGCTTCATGAGTGCGGGGGTGGCTTTCGCATTGCCTTCCTTGGGCTTTGCCTTCCCTTTGGGTTCAGCAGGTGCGCTCTTGGGTGCAGCGTGAGGGTCATGCTTGAATTTACACTTGCTATCCGAACAGCTACCCCTAATCCATGCCCAGCAATGATCAATGTCATGCTTTGGTGATGGTGAGCTGCTCCTACTCCTACCACCCTTCGAAATTCCCTTGGACTTCTGGCTGTGGTATATGGACAATCTTTACCTTTCTTGCACCCACCTTTGTTGAAATGGAAAATACAAGGGGCATCACTCTTGTTCCTACCATCAGGCGTATTAGATCTCGAACCTGTTGCTTTTGCCACTACCTTTGCCCTCACCCTTCTTCTTATTCTTGTCATGTTCTTTTGGGGCTGGCTGCGGCGTCCTGCTTGCCCTTCTATCGTCTTTGGAACCTGATGCTGGAGCACCTTTCTTGATGCCTTCTTCGCCTTTGGCGTTCTTCTTCGAACTGGAGCTACCTTCTGCCGGGGCTGAGGCTCTCATATTACCCATCTAATCATAGACGGCCCTTTCACGATCACTTTGATTCTTATCCTCCAACTGCCTTTCTACACATCTTCTGATGACTCCCATTAGAAAACCATAAGTCTTTTCAGCGTCACCTTCCCTAAGGCCCTCATACTTCGACAGATCGAATCTCATGAGTTGGGAATCTCGAATCTTCTTGTGAATGCAGTCCCTCAGCGTCACTTCTGATGGAATATCACTTGGGCGCATGTTTGCAAGAATCTCCTCCCATGCTGCAAGAAACCTCCCGATCTGTTTGTCACCAGGATACTTCAGGCTATAGAGGTTCTGAACATTAAACATCATCTCAGTATAGGAAGTGGTTCTAAAGTTGGTCACAATCATAGCCAGCACTTCTCTACCTTTGACAAAAGACGATGTTTTCGATCGTGCTTGAGTCCTTTGCCTCACTTTCATGGCGACCTCTCTTGCTGCTTCACCACCGTTCTGTACAATGGCAGTCAATGCGATGCCTAGCTTCGCATCGATGGATTGAAATCGAATGTCTCCAGAATCGGAGAGTGCATCAAGGTCCGGATCAGCGACCATGGCAGGTGCCAACCATCTCGTCCAAGCGTCGACGTCATCATCACCTGAGGCAACGACTACTGCTTGGGATACATTGACTTTCCATATGTCCAAGTCATTGATCTTCGGAAAATTCTCTGCCTCTTTTCTGGAGATCTTGGGCTTCGACGATGATCCGAAACTAGCCGCCTTCGATTCTGCAACATTCTTGTATGCGTTGGCTTCTGCTTCCGCTGATTCCTCCTCTGCCCTCAGCATGTCACGTTCTAGCTCTACGGCCTCGAACTGTTCATAGATCTGTCCATACCAGTCCTTGTAGTCATCTCTTTCCTTTCTGAGATTTTCGCGTTCCTTCCTCAATCTTTCCTCTACGTTCTTGGCATTCAGTAACTGAATCTCCTCAGTGTTGACTTGGGTCTTCAGCTCGCGCTTCTCACTCCTCAGTTCGGCCTGTACTGTGGTGGGGTCAGGGACCGCCACCCAGGCCACACTTAGTCCTCGAGCTCTCAGCCTCATGAGTCTTCTTTCAGCCTTTCTCAGCTCTGCGACAACTGATCTCTCTCTGACCTCAGCGCTGGCATGATCTCTATATATAGGACTTCTCGAGTTCTGCCCGGAGCTTCGTGATCAACTCGCGTTCCACCGTTTGTTGGACTGATCATCGACCTGCATCGTGCCTGCGGAACTGCCGACAACTAATAACGCAGATGCGTTTTCACTGCTTCCGATCCTTCCAACTTCGGCCTTGAACTCATTGGCAATGTGCTCTTCTCTCCTTATGGAACGATGCTTGGTCTCCATGTTGCTATGAAACACTGCTCTCTCGTGTTCCACTCTCTTCATCACTGATTGAAGTTCTCTGGATAGTTCATCCACTTCCTCCTTCTGGGCATAGATTATGGCTGAACTTTCAGCCCTCTCCCTCAAACATTCAGATTGGAGTCGGAATTCTGCATTCATCAGTGAATCACGAGAAGACCTTGCTTTGTGGTACTCGGAATTCTCCAAGATCATTTGGAATTGGGCATCCTGTGTATACTGGTACACATTGACTTCGATGTCTTTGATCCGTTGCATGCACGAGGCTATCTCCTGTCTAGCCATGATGGAGTGCTCATCATACTCGCTCTGCAAAGAATACAATTTCTGCGCCAGATGAGTTGCCACCTCCTGCATGAAGTTCCGATACCTATCGAGTTCTGCCACTCTCGTATTTGTACCTTCGTAGTCTTGCCAGATCTCCTCAAGGAATCTCGACATGTTGCTAACTTCGCTCTGTGCACCTTCAATGATCCGGTGATACTGGGAATTGGCTTCGGTGAGTTCGATATGATAGACACGATTCCTTTCTTGTAGTTCGGTTTCCTGGTCTTTCATCCTCTTCTCTCGCATTGATAATGGCATATCCTCAACCATCTTCTTCGGACGTTCTGTTCTATCCTTCTCCTTCTGGACTGTTCTTCTCGGCGATCTCATATCCCTCTTCGTAGGAGTTCCTGATCTACTGGACCATCTAGCTCTAGCATTGGGTGAGTCGGTCCCGATCCTGTTGGGGGTGAGGTCATTTCCCTCTGATCGGCGGCTGCCCTCAACGTTGCAACTTCCGACGCAATCGTTCCATGGATTCGGAACTTGACAATGCCGCGGCACAGCTACTTCACCAAATATGTGAAGTCACTAGTCTCACTTCCGTCGTTCATGTCCGCGATCCAGCCCGTACAAGCTTGGCTGATAACCTGCGAAGGCAGGATTTCTGGTTTGATGAATCTCTGTGATGACTACTGCTGTGCACTCACCCCATCAGCGCACGCCTTTTCTCTCCTTGAGCGGGCGCTTGAGCCAAAGTACAAGAACATGTATGTACATCGCATGTGATCATGCTAGCTGTGCTATCGCTGCAGTCCCATTGACATTTCAAGACAGTTCATTGATTCCAATATCGTGGTTCTCTCTATCCTCCAACTTGCTTTGCTTAGAGATTGCAGAGGTCTACAACGTTTTGGCTTCCTTTCTCTCTTGTCGGCAAGGCATTTTCAGGAATGCACGGGCTGGTTTCGTCCATGCTGTCCATGCCACTCACAACTCAGAGCTCCATTTGTCTCCAGATGTCAGCCATCGACGTCTCCACTGTACGAGAAATCACGTCTTTGCAATCTTCTTTCCAGTCTTTCCCAACGTCTGCCTCATTTTTCTTTCTCATACAAAAGTCTTGAAGGTCCTGCAAGTGGCATAGCCCACTGTCCCACAGCACCGCATGGACAATGCTTCCAGGCACCAAGATTGCACATCTTAAGATCCTCGCCGATTTCAACGAGCTCAATCTGGATTGAATATGGAGGTGCAAACAGGTAGACTATGCATAAAATGTCTGCTTTCACCTTGCATTGATACCGATTCAAGAGAGTAACAATGATACACCTCAAAACTTTCTCCAACAGATTTGAGATGAGGAAGCATCAAATGTTGGAGGCGCACAAGGTAAGCAAACTCTGCATCCTCCTCTATGGAAGACAGCAACGGAATTGAAACTGAATGGATCTCAGATCGTCCAGGACATAAATCACAAGGTCTTTGCCAATTAGAATCAACATGGTCCTCCAAAACAAACTGCTTAGGATCTAAGATCTAAGACCTAAAGACACATAACATCACATCACCATGCGCTGCATTCCGTCATCCTGGATGTTGCTTTTCGCGGCGGCTTTGCGCCACAAATTTCTAACTTCGTCGCTAGGAAACCACTGGGGCAGGCAGTTTTTACAAAAAGTTGAGGGCGCGTAGGTGGCGGACTGCTCGTGATAATAGAATTGCCTGCAATCGCACGAACTCCACGTGTGTGGAGTCTGTGCGCAGCTCTACCACGTCCTCAGACTAGTCAGTGCTAGTAGTAGAAGTGGTAGAAGTAGAAAAGTAGTCGGAGTGGGAATGGGGTGAGGAGGAGCAACTCTAGCTAGCCAAGGTTCTCCGCACTCGGATTCAGGCTTGCAGGCATCTGCGAGGCGAGCTGCCTCCCAGTCAAACACCAGCACCTCGCCGGCGGAGCGAAAGTTTGCAGAGGACATGAAGAGCAGGGAACGGTGGAATTCCAATGAGACGGAAGGAGTACTTGCAACGCGTGACTGTAGAAACACAGCAAACAAAGCACGCAAAAATAAACGAGGTACTCATTAGGTTCTAATGATATGACTTATATAGGAGTTGTTAAAAGTGAGTTTGCAGAAAGGTTGGTCCAAGCAATTCCCCGCACGAGGTCGCCTCCTCGTAAGCAGCCTCTGCCACGGCCGCTCTGTGTTGTGGCACCTGCAACTTTGTGTTCAAACCTTTGTTGGAAACCTTTGTATGCGAAACCTTTAAACCTTCGTGTGGACGCTGCTTTCAAAGGTAAGAAATCCGTCAGCAGCAGTTTGGCTTGGACAGAGACCCTTTGAAGCACTGCCCCACTCCATGGTGAATTGCCATGCTCCTCAGTCGTTTCAATTGATTTGCGCATGTTGCTTCCTAGCAATGTCCCTGCCACAACTCAATTGAAAGGACATCTTGTGAACATGCGAGAAAGAATTTGTATCAACCCAGCACCTCTGTCTTAAGAGGAATGCTCGGGCAATCCTCCTGCAAGATGCAAACAAACATGAACTCCAGATCTTTGCGTTAGCTGAAGTGTATCAGTGCTCAAAAAAATATCTCGTGTGACGTAGGCATTGATTGTATTTCACTCTAATCTGATTCTGCACTGGCCTCTGCACAAGGCCAGGGATCTGCTCCTCTACATGGTGAATCGCCCTGCTCCTCAGTACTTCAATGGTTCAAACATGTTGGCATGCTTCAAGCAACTCAACCAATTAAAGCAAAGGCTCGGAACGAAAAGCTGGCATATTTAGCATCAAGAAGTCACCTGCCAAGTCAGGCAAGCACTGAACAGTCACAAGTCTAAAGCTGTTCGCCTCCACTCGTCTCTGGTTCCTGCTCTTCAATGTCCCAGTCCTGCAAAGAGTTGTCTACCGGGCATTCGTAGACCATCTGGCAATTTGAATCAATTTGAAGATTGCCCTGTCCTCCAAAACATCTTCTGGAGAAGGCGGCACTGTAGCATCAGATGGCCTCAAGAAAAACAGGCACTGATTCCACCTATTGCACAAAGGCACTGGCCGTCCCCGCCTTCCTTTTGGGGTAGCTGGCGCAGGCTTGGTCTGGACAGGATACTTAACCACGACCGACCACTCAAAGAAATTCGCGAGAACCCTCGGTGAAACTTGGGGGAACAGACCCAAGAGCAAAGGCCTGCCTCTTCTGCAGCTGAAATTGATAGACTTGAAATTGAAGAAAGTGAAATCCTGACAATAAAAATTCAACTAAATTTTGTACATTTGGCGCAAATCTGATTCAAACGAAAAATCAGAAAGGCCTAGGTGTCATTGGGAGCGCCCCAATCATCCTTCCGGATTGTTGAATCACCTGCCAACATCAAAGCTTAGTCTGGGCAATTCCAAAAGATCAAACAACATGCGTTGTGGGCTGTGTGGACTGCTTGAACAGGTGGGATGCTGAAACACTCTAGATTTCAACCACAACTAAGTCAGCGTATGACATTTCAAGAACAAGGATGTTTAAAATGGAACGCCACTGGCAGCCTCGTTCCATTCCACATCAAGAGGTGGCAAACTTGTTGCCCCAGTCGCAGTCGAATCATCTGACCCGGTTGAAAGCCTCCAGCCACCATTGCAACATCATGTCTCACCAAAAACCTCACAACATTACATAGCTCACAATTCTTAAGGCCTGTGGTTCTGCTGACTGCAGGCCTCTGACCTCGGCAAAAACATGTGGTCAGAGGAGTCAGAGGGGGGCGAAAAGCAAATGCGAAGCAAACTCAGCAAAAGGCCTAGGGGGTGTGGTTGGCGGTGTGGCTGGAAGACCTCCACATTGACCACGCACCTCCAAAGAGGGAGCGCTGGAAGCGACCAGTTCATCAAAGCCGCAATCAAAGCTGCATGCAAAACAAACGGCAAAAGAGTTTGAAGGCTTTCGCTGCACAAGATAGAATCCAAGATGTAGATATATATGGCAAAACACTTGAAGAGTAGCCAAATGTGAGAAGATGTGATGACTTGAGAAGTTGGAAGATGTTCGACGGGTAGTTCAGTAGATCTAGTAATATGTGGATGTAGATGTATTTGCACCTCCTTCTTTTTGAAGAACCCTACGCTCAGACGCATTTTTACAAGTGGAATATTTATGCGCTCATCACAAAGAAACACTCTGGGTCCAGTGCCTGGCATGCTGCTTTGGCATGCCGCCGTAGCTCTTCGTTCAATGGTTCCACCTGGCTCGAACCATGAGCACCCGACATGACAACACAGCATCTGCATGTCGAGGCCTCACAACGATGGCACTCCAGCTGTTCAAGCAATGACGCAAACTTAGCTTCATGCCTGGCTGTGAATTGAAGCTGTGTGTGGATTTGAATTTGATAACGCGCAGCTATGGAACGCAACTTTCACTCTTTAGCTTGCCTCTCTGGTTCAGGTTCGGCAGCTTCAGTTCCGAGCTGGGCCTGTTGGGCTCTTGCGGACGGTCTGCTAGCTTCAGCCTGCTCTGCGTGCTCTGCTAGTTTTTCAGTTCGAAAAA